GGGTAAATAGAATTGTCTTTATAAAGATGATCAAAATAGATATTAAATAAGAATAGCAATTGGAAACCATATTATGGAACAGTTATGATTTAACACCTTGAGAAAAGCCAGATCATATGCTGGATCAACACCTACGATCTTCGCTCCCTTAGCTATGCTTTCTCCTTTAGCAGTCACTAAAGAAACCTGAATAGAAACCTTTAAAATTAGAATGACTTGAAATGGAGCAGTGCGGTTCAATATCCAGATAGGAACAGAAAACAAAGGGATAAAACACCAGGAATGCAGAAAACCTTACAATGCTGCAGTCCACTTTGATCAGTAGCTAATTTAGCAATGACATGGTAATCGGTAACCTGCGATAAATTCAAAATAATCATGCCCCATTCTCAGAGAACTGTTTGATTTCAGAATTATAGGTACATTATATTTGGTCAATACTGAGACAAATTTATAGCAAACTCTGAAGCAAGATTTGAGGCAGGGTTAGAAATTTAGACGAGAGAACTGAATTTCAAGTGTGAAAATTTTGGCGGCCGTAAGAAAGTAAAAACCATTGGAATCTTAAATACAAGTCTAACACATTTGACTTTCTTGAGAAGAGGCATTTAAATTTCTTGATATAAGCAGCAGGAGAATTAATCCAATTAAGATGGAAAATTGAAGATATCCATTGCATATTTGTAATCCTTAAAGTTGAAAAATCNGAGTGATTAGATGTCTTAGAGCAGCGGCAGAGTGATTAGATGTCTTAACACTGTTCAAATTAACACTTTGATATGATGTTTTCTCCATCAAACTTTTTGACCATTACTTTAATATTTTCTTCCAGAATCACTAATACAATGTATAAACCAAATTAATATCTTAACTTCCATTCCCACTCAAAAAGTGTCTATAATATAATATAGAATGGAAGGATTAGTTAATATCATATTTGTCATAGTTTACTTCCACTGACCAATATATAAAATCTTTTTGATGGAGAAATTAGAATTGTCAGTATAAAGCTGACCAGTATAGAGAATAAATTAGTAACAAAATGACAATTGGCAACAACAATAAGTAATAGGTTGATTTAACAGCTTAAGAACAGCCAGATCATATGCTGGATCAACACCTACGATCTTCGCTTCCTTAGCTACGCTTTCTACCAAATGGTTCTGCTATTAAATTAATTAGAACTAATAAGCTTACCAATTATATTACTATAGATGATAAGACAAAAAATGATGCTTTGAAGTCTTTGTCTTGCTGAAGTTCAAAGAGCTGAACAACTCTTATCTTCATCTTGCTTAAGTTCATAAACTCTGAAATTAAAGCACAGTAGCAGAGTTAGACGAATAAACAAAAGAGGAAACAAAGAGAAGACGTAACAATTAAAGCTTTACATATTGGGTTTGCGAATTTGTTGAAGAAACAGAAGAAGGGGGAATTTGAGGTTGATGGGGTTGCAAATGAGGGGAGGATACCTCCAAAGACGACCACATGGGTAGTGATGTATTAAAACCAGACCAGATAATGTTAGACTACGTGTCACAACTGATACTTTTAGCGCCATCATTCTTTCTTTCAATTAATGACGGCCTATTCTAAAAGTTTTTATTTTAATTTTGGGATGTATTAAAAAAACTAATATGTATGAACGTGTATTGCACGTTAATAATGACACGTGATGATTTAAATATTTATTTTATGAAAAAATAATAAAATTTAATTAATGAGAGAAATTTTATTATAATAATACAACAATCATCTAAATGCCGAAAAATATTACTCCCTCCGTTTCAATTTATGTGAACACATTTGACTGGGCACAGAGTTTAAGAAAAGAGAGAAGACTTTTGAACTTGTGGTGTAAAATGAGGTACATATATTTTGGGTCCCGTTCAACGGCTTAAGGTCTCGAGCAGTTTCGTATAGTGATTTTGAACTTAGGCGTACATCCAGATTTCGAAGCCCTTAGGATAATTCGGCGCATTTTGGCGAAAATTGGAAAGTTGAAGTTTTTGAAGGTTGAGAGGTTTGACCGAGGGTTGACCTTGTTGATAACGGGTTCGGATTTCGATTCCGTAAATTGGAACATGTTCATTATGTCATTTATGACTTATGTGAAAAATTTGAAGCCGTCCGGATTGATTTGATACGTTTCGGAATGCATTTTGTAAGTTGGAAGATTTAAAATTTTATAAGTTCGATTCGAGGTGCAATTCGCAATTTCGACGTTGTTGCGTGATTTGAGGCCTCGAGTAGATCCGTGTTTTGTTACGGGACTTATTGGTATATTCGGACGGGATCCCGAGTGATTCAGATGAGTTTCAGACGGGTTTCAGATTGTTTTGGAGATTTTGTTAAGGCTAGTTTGGCAGTCACTGATGCTGTAATGACTAGACCAGTCGTTTTGCTTTCTAGATCCCCGTTCCCTTAATAAGACTCCCAGCATGTGCTTTTACTATTTTATGACTTGCGGGGATGGTTAGTTCGGGTTGAAATCAGAACACATGATTCCTTATTATTGTCTTAAGAGGGTTAAGTTTGACTTGGATCAACATTTTCAGTAAATGACCTCGGAACCGGGATTTGACAGTCCCTATAGGTTCGTATGATAATTTTGAACTTGGACGTATGTTCAGATCGGGTTTCGGATGACCTGGGAGCGTTTCAACACATAAAGTTGAAAGTTGGCGCATTGAAGGTTTTATAGTTCTTTAAATTTGGGCTGAAGTTGGTTTTAGTGTTAGCGAGGTCCGTTTTGGATTCAGAGCCTTGGTTTTAGACTTGCACGTAAAATTTGGTGTCGTTCCGAGTAGTCTAAGTATGATTCGGCGCGTTCGAAGCAAGTTGAAAACTTGAAGTTCATAATTTGATTCAATTTGGTTTTGGGGTGTGATTCTTGGTTTCGTTGTTGTTTTATGCGTTTTGAGAGTTCGAGCAGGTCCGTATCTTGTTTATGGTCTTGTTGGTGCATTTGGATGGGGTACCGAGTGACTCGGGTGTGTTTTGTACCGTCCGAAGTTAAGTTGAAAACACTAGAATTTTTTGTTCTGGTTTCCTTCTTCGCGAACACGGAGAAGCAATCGCGTTCGCGATGAAGGAATGGGTCTGGGTGGAATATTGCACTATGAGTTCGAGAGATGGAGACCGCGTTCGCGGAGCTTTGGGCCACTGGCCTTCGCGTTCGCGAAGTGAAAAACCAGCTGGGAAGGGGGTCTGTCATTGGTCTTCGCGTTCGCTAAGCAGCCATCGCGTTCGCGATGGGCAGTCCAGCTAAGCCTTCACGTTCGCGTGGGCTTTCCCCCCGTTTGCAAAGGGTATATTTGGATGCCCAATCACGATCGTGTATAAGGGCCACTGGGCAGAAACATTTTAAAAACGAGACTTAGACCCATTTTTCTCATCTTCTCACTTGTGTGGTTCGAATTTGGAGCTTCTTGTAGAGGGGTTTCCACCTAGCTATTGAAGGTAAGTAATCCTTACCCAATGAAAGTTTAATACATAGATTGTGGGTAGATTTTAACATGTAAAATTGTAAAAATTATGGGTTTAGTTGAAAAACCTAGGTTTTGATAAAAAATGGTATTTAACCACGAAAATGATTATAGAATTGGGAGAAAATTATATATGTGAGTTCGTGAGGTTATGGGTAACAATTATCTTTGAATATTTTCGGAATCTGGGACGTGGGCCCGAGGGTGAATTTTAAGAATCTTTCAATTTGAGTTGGGTAAGTACTCTAATAGCTAAACTATTAACTTTTGAGCGTATATTGATTATTTTATATAATATTTGTCTAGCTTCAGATTTGTTCGACACCAAGTTGGGTCCTTAGAATAAATTTGTGGCCGAAAAGTAAGCTTTGAGACGAGGTAAGTCTCTTGCCTAACCTTGTAAGAGGGAATTTACCCCATAGGTGATTTAAATTGCTATTTGATTCTAACTGTGGGGGCTACGTATGCACGAGGTGACGAGAATCCGTGCGTAACTACTAATTACGCTTAAGTCTGGGTAGTTTAGGACCCAAATCATGAAATACTTCTGATGTTTGCACCCTACTTGTTAATTAAAGTGCTTAAATTATAGTAAAACTTGTTAAAGGATTTGTAAAAATCGAATTTCACTTACTTGAGTATTGGCGGGTCACTTGACTATTATTAGAGATTGAGCTACTTTGTGTATTAGCCTTATAATAGCTTTTAAATCGGATGTTCATAAAGTAATCTATCTTCTTGTGGAGCGGGCCGAACGCCTTGGCAGTATAATAGATGCATCTACGGTTTGTGCCGCTCAATCCTTGGCAGTGTAAATATTATTTTGGATCGGGCCGTACGATCGACATAAATCGTGCGTGTTAATGCTTGAAGCCCGAACACACGTGATATTATTTTTCATGAATTGAGAGATTATAATTTATTTATTTTTTCGAAATTTATTTGGAATTAGTATGTGCTAATGGAACATTATTGGAATTTACTATTAGTTAAAGAATTATTTAATCACTGTTGTCATTGTGTTAATATTATTATTCACATACTCTATGTCTATTTAGCATTTCTGTATTTTATTGTTAGCCCATAGTAAGTGTCGATGTCGATCCCTCATCACTACTTCTTCGAGGTTAGACTGGATACTTACTGGGTACATGTTGTTTATGTACTCACGCTACACTTCTGCACTAATCGTGCAGGATCTGAGGTAGGTGCATCTGGCAGTCATTCCGGCGCGCACTCCTGTTACTCCGAGGCCTAGTGGTGAGCTGCTCTTCTGAGTCCATTCCGCAGCACCCGGAGTCTGTCTCTCTTTTGTATTTATTTTCTGTCTACTCTATTTCAGACAGTAGTGTAGAGTTTTGTTGTAACAACCCGACCAGTCATTTTGAGTATTACAATCCCGTTCCCCCATTTACTGCTCAATTTATGCTTTACAGTTGTTATGTGACTTGTTGGGGTGATTGGTTCAGGTCCGGTGGGATTTTGGAATGAATTGGAACACTAAGTTCCAAGGTTTAAAGCTTAAAATAGTGACCGGATGTTGACTTATGTGTAAACGATCCCGGAATAAAGTTTTGATGATTACAATAGCTCCGTATGGTGATTTTGGACTTAAGAGCATGTCCAGAAAAATTATTTGGAAGCCTGTAGCTAAATTAGGCTTGAAATGGCTAAAGTAAAAATTTAAGTTTGGAAGTTTGACCGGGGAGTTGACTTTTTGATATCAGAGTCGGAATCTAGTTCTAAAATTTTTCATAGCTCAGTTATGTCATTTATAACTTGTGTGCTAAGTTTGAGGTCAATCAGAATTGAATTGATAGGTTTCGGCATCGAATGTAGAAGTTGGAATTCGTTAGTTTTCGTTAAGCTTAAATCGGGGTGTGATTTGTGATTTTAGCATTATTTGATATGATTTGAGGCTTCGACTAAGTTCGTATGATGTTTTAGGACTTGTTGGTGTATTTGGTTGAGGTCCCGGGGGCCTCGGGTGAGTTTCGGATGGTTAACGGATCGAAATTTGGACTTAAACAACTGCTAGAATTTTTTGATGCTTGTATCTGGCTTCCTTCATCGCGTTCGCGAGGGGAGTCTCGCGTTCGTAAAGAGGAAATTTGGACTGGCCCATTTTGTGCTTTGCGTTCGCGACCGAGGGCACGCGTTCACGAAGGGTCGAGGGGCAAAGTTACGCGTCCGCGACCGAGGGCATGCGTTCGCAAAGGGTCGAGGGGCAAAGCTACGCGTTCGCGATCGAGGCCTCACGTTCGCGGAAGGGAAAGCTGGCCTAGGGGAAATTTTATCTTTGCGTTTGCGAGATCGGGCTCGCGTTCGCGAAGGAGGAAATTCGGGAAGCACAATTTTGTGCTTCTCGAATGCGAGGAAGCTTCCGCGTTCGCGTAGAAGAAACATCTGGACAGAAAGTTTAAGTTCTGATTTTCCATATTTGACGAATTGGAGCTCGGGAAGAGGTGATTTTCGGGAGATTTTCAAGGAAAACAACAGGGTAAGTGTTCTTAACTCAATATTTGTAACACCCCGAAAAATTTCAAAGTACTTAAGCGCTATTAAGAAAGTTGATGTGCGCTAATTATATTATTTTGTGTGCATACGAGGACTATTAATATGATGGATATCAATTGGATATGATAATAAGTGTATGAGGCATTGTAATGACCCGGCCGGTCGTTTCGGGAGTTATAGCCCCATTTTCCCCATTTCTGTTTCCTTTATGTTTAAGCTATATTATGATATACCAGGTTAGTTGGTTCGGGTCCGGAGTGGTTTTAGAGTGGAATGAGATACTTAGTCTCTTATTTAGAACCTTAAGTTGGAAAAGTCAACCGAATGTTAACCTATGTGTAAACGATCTCGAATTTGAATTCTGATGGTTCCGTTAGCTCCGTTAGATGATTTTAGACTTAGGAGTGCGTCCGGAATGTGATTTGGAGGTTCGTGGTAGAATTAGGCTTGAATTGGCAAAATTGAAAATTTGGCGATTTTCGGTCAGCAGTGGAAAATT